AAAAATGTTGCAGTCCTGCATGATGCTGAAGTTGTTTTACACTATGTTAGAAAAGCTGCCTTTACCACATTCTTTCTGCTGCATATAATGGCGCCTGTTGACTTGGCTGATGGATGTTGAGAGTCACCTCATTTTGTCTCCAGTCCATTCAGCCCTTTATCTCTGTTGCACTTCTGCTTGTTTTTAGTGTTTCACTTGATAAAAGTTTTCAAATGATATGTCAGCACATTCAAAAAAGGAAAACAGACATCTGTTCTTACCAAGATCCTCCCATCTCCCTCTGACTGTCTTTCTCTCTCCATCCCTGTCACTATTGTTTCTCTCGTTCTCAATTTTCCTCGTCTTCTCCAGCCGACAAGTCTCTTTCTCTCTCTCCCTGCTCCCTCTCCTATACTGTGCCCCAACAAGTGTCTTATATTTCCAATGATGAGTTAGCTCATAAATCCTGATAAAGCCACTGGCTGTTCCATTTTGGTGGAACAGGAAACTCTTGCAGGAGGAGACAAAAGATGAGGAATGGGTCTTGTGCATGAGGTTGTCCTGTTTTCTCTGTTTCCCATTGTGATGTCCACAGAGAGTGTGCATTCTTATGTATTTAGAGCCTTTTCATTGGAATTCACTCAAGAGCTCTGCAAAGGTGTCATTTATAATCAGGTCTGTATTTGTTCAGCCACCCTAATGTTTTGTATCTTATCTCTTTTGGTTCAAGTGAGCCATTACTGCTAGTCCTTTTCAACCACCTCGTGCATTTACTATAATAATTAAACTATTATAACAGAAAACCTGTCAAAAATTATGACCCTAGCAGATGGACAGGAACAGGATTCAAAAAGATCACGTCAGTCTTTTGTTTACTTTGCAGGACATGTCGTTCCTGTCATGATAATGTTCATTTGCAGCAATATTTGGGAGAAAATGAAGCCTTGTGCTTTTGTGCTGCAGCCAGATGTTATGGATTTAATCAGGGTAGAGGACGGTCGCTTTGTTTCTGGAGACCAGTGTTTGCATAGAGTTAGGTTTAGGCAATAAAAGCATATTTTGGTTTAGGTTAAGGGAAGAATCTGGCTTTGGTTACACATTTAAGCCTGTTGCAACTTGTTCTTTAAGCTGATGTTGACTTTTTCAGCATCAAAGCAAATTTCCAAAAACTCAGCAAAAAATATGATTGCACATTTTTATCCACTGCTGTTATGCAAAGAAGAAGAGTTAACCGAGAGTAAAAGTAGCTTTAATTCTCAAGTTAGGGTGCAGTCATTGGCCATATTTTATCTCTACAGTGAAGCAGATGCTTAAGTACATAATGATGTGTTCTTGCACTGTTTTTCTATTACACACTATTGCATCTAAGTTTTTAATCAATACAGCAACTTCCCTCTTTAGCAAAGTGTAAAACCTTTTGCAGTATTTGAACTTAATTTCAGATGTGAAACTTTTCTGCTCAAGACACTCTTTTTCTGCATGTGTGCATTGAAATCTGTATTAAAACAAGTGGCTGGAGTTGAATTCACATTAAACCTGAAAGGTTTAAACATTAACCATGTAAACATTAAGCATGCTTCAACTTCTGTGAGTGGTATTGCTGAGAAAACAACTCAAATGTATTAAAGTGCAATTTTGGCTTCCCCATCTTATGAACACAGTTATTTTAAGTTAAATACTGTTAAAACAAAATAGTTGTCAAAAGGAAAAAAGCATCTTAGATTAAAAAAAAAATTTCTTGATATCGCCATGCTCCACATAATCAGAAATCACTGACACAGAAACAAATGCACAATTCTAAAAACACATCCACATAAACACCACTGCCTGTGGTGCCGGTGATGTCACCACACAGGTGCAGCAGTGAGGCCTTAAACACTAATGATTGCCTGTCACTGCCTTAAAAATCTCTGACTGGTCCATGTAATTACAAAGCAGATTTTGCTCATTTGTCTTTGTCTCCATTTTGTTGTTTGCTCTCTAAGCCTTTGTTTTTGTAATAATGACCGATTTCCTCCGAGCAACACTTGCCCTTCCCTGCTGCTTTTAGAGTTTCTAGGATGAGTTTACAACTAATAGTATGGTATTAAGGCAGAGGCAGGCTGTAGTTACTAACACTATTACAGAGGCTTTGATGGAGCCATGCTGGATAGAGACTCTAAGCTTTGGCTTGGTGGCCGTCATTACCTTGGCTGGAAGGTGGTAAAATTTTGTCCCTGTAGCGTTCCTGTCTCTCAGGTCAGATGATATCACCTTGTCAACAGTACATCTCATCGTTGCCCTCACTTGTTTTTTCTTGTCTTAGTCCCAACCACTAACATGCAAGGAAAATGTGAGGACAGAGGACTCGACTAGAGGAAACACATTGTTAATGACATGAGACGTTCTTTCCTCAGATTCTTCATTTGAAGTGTTCAATCTCCACCTGACTTCCGATAAAGATGTGTCAGTTCACAAAACCTTCCGCAAAGGATGGTCTTGTGTAAACTCAGTCACAGCTCCACCAGCACCATCCTCACTCCTCAGTCCTCAGTGCCAATAAGAGAGGCATGGGACATCCTAAGTCCTCGGTTGACTTAAAAGCTGATCTGTAGGACGTAGGCGCGATCTTATAAGAGATGTACTTCATGTTTCGCTGCTTAGTTCATAGGCTTTGTCAGGCTTTGAACTCCCTCTTTAATGTTTTAAGGTAGTGGAAGCTTTTGTGCTGTTAGAATAAAAGGTCCGCTGAAAAAGCAAAAAACTTTCTAGATTTTTTTCACACTGGTTTTTGAGTTGCCCTTCTGTCCATCCAATTTTTTTTGAATGCAACTTCGCAGAAATGTCTTCAAGGAATTTCAAGTTTTCCAGATGATGCAATTAGATTTTGGTGGTCAAAAATCAAGGTTCAAATTTGGTACAAATGTCCACTTAATTTCAAGGACAATGTGACAAAGTTCTCCATCAGTCCTCTCTATAAATAGTCTCCAAGTAAAAAAAGATGTTTTATTCACTAGTATCCAACATGTCAATAAGATGTAACAATAAATTCTATTTTGGAAAAAAATAATTAATGTCTGTTATATTCCTTCTTAGCAAAAGCATAGTTCTTTCTGAATCAGTTCCTCAAACTGTTTTTTTCCTGATTATTTGTCTATATTGTGTGCATCATGCACAATGTCACTGGTCGCTTGTTTAACAGTACATAGCATGAAGTGGCACCACAACGTGTAACCATCTACATAAAATCACACAGTGCTTTGTGTTTTGTTTTTAGTTTTTTGCATTCTCTATCCATTAACTATCTTATCATGATGTCGGGGTGGGAAGAGTCAGAATCCTTTTGTGGTTTACGACTTTTCTTCCTTCTTAAATGTCCCTGCACCAGCTGTCATTTCTGTCTGACTTTTTTTGACTGTGTTGACTTTGTTACCACCAGCGATGTTCAGCTGAACATTTATTGAGTTTATTCTCTTTTATTGTTTGTTTTCATTTAGTTATCAATCTGTCTTTAGTGTACCTGCTGAAGGCAAGCATGACCATCCTGAAGGTGTGATCCCTTTGTTTTCCTGAACTAGTTTCACAGGCATGCATTCCCTTTTCTCATTTGGGTTTGTTATTTATAATGTACATGTTTGTATTGTGCAGGGTTTTGTTTGAATGAGTCAGTGCATTACAAATACATTTTACTTGACTTTTAAACAGATGCAGTGAATGTAGTGCCACATAATTGAACTGCACCAAAGTTATCAGCAGTTGGGGGGTGCATGGCAGGCGTATAAAACACAGGCCTGTCACATCAGAGACCAGGGGGTGCATTCACAGTCCCATCTGTTTTTATTTAGGCAACACAAGCACTTTGGTTCAGGTTGGGGAAAGTGTGTGGTATTGAAATGTTACGTCTGACTGAATAT